CGACTGTCTGGTCTGCGCCAGAGACAGGAATGCTGTCCTGTGTAAACGTCGGGTTATACAAATATGTATTATTCCTCGCTGCAAAGTTTCACCCAATTTAATTGAAACCACTTTTACATAACAAAAAGTGCCAGGGTTCTTTATAGAAAGAAATAAATAAAAAAAATAAGTCAAAATTGTTTGGTATATCCAGAAGAAGACAATGAAAGGGAAGTTCCAGAGAAATTAGTTAAAAATATGAAGCTATTCAGATTTTTTTGTTCAACTACATAATAATTGCGCATTAGTTGAAAATAAAACAGTTATTGTCCACTCACAAATTCATTGACATCTTCATAAATAAAAGTGTTGAAATTCTGATTGATTGCACGGTATTTAGGTCAATGAACATAAAGTGATAAATCACCAAAATTTGTACTTAACAAGCTGTTTTTTAGCAAATTCCTTAGGGGTCATGGTTGGTATTTTCGCTTACAACTTTTTGTTGCTAAATTACTTACAAAATATTGATTACCTACGTCAATACATTTTTATACTGGTATCATCGACTATGTTATTTACTAACAAAAAGCCTACTGAAGGAATGATAAGGTTAGTTTTTTCTGTAGGTTTCACATCCAAACATACTCAAATTATTTCGCTCATTGAATGTGCTCTACATACTCATTTTTTTTATTTTGTTTAATATCCTATGAGGCTATACGTTCTGATCAATGAGCTGTTCTGTTTTACTGTTACATTTGCTAACGTGTCTCTCAAAATAATAGTTTTACTTAAAAAATGTTTGTATTTGACATATGATAAGTGTTCTTTTTACAAGTTACAATACCATAAACCGTCCTTTCTGATTTAGTCTCATTTCACTGTCTCTTGCAGTTTTATCTCCTTGAGTCTTAGTTCCATTTATGTTTTGTGTTTAAATGTGTTTAAATGTGGCTTCTGCGCTCAATTGGGGTCATAAAATTTGTTTATATCTGCTATTAGTTTTGGTTATATGATATGATAACATTCATCATCATTCATCATTTTGAAGAAGTTGACAGTCTTTAAGATAAGAAAATATTTTTTGAGTATCTGTATTTTCTTCTAGAGCACTCTTAGGGAGTCGATGCTATATCTGAGTCGTTCACTGTTATATTTGGGACAATGTATTAAAAAATGTTTTACCGTTAAAACACTACTGCACATTTCACACACTGGTTTATGTTTGCGCTGTAATAAATAGTCATGAGTAAGTCGTGTATGGCCGATACGGAGACGGGTAAGTATCACTTGCTCTCTTCTGTCTTTTATTTTTGGTTTCCAAAGATGTGGATGTTTGTTGACTGATGGAGTGTGGTTCCAAGTTTGTTGCCATTTTTGAATTATTTTTTGTTTTAAGTATGGTTTTGTACCAATATATGTTACTTTCTGCGGACATCGAGTTAGTTGGTGCTTTTTTAGCCAGTTTATCTACAACTTCGTTACCTTCAATTCCGACATAAGAAGGCACCCATAAAAAGTGAACTTGGATGTTCTTATTTGAAAAGTTCTTTTTTAATAAAAAGTATAAAGGGGTTGTCACAGTACAATTGAGTCAGTGAGGGTAATGAACTTAGAGAATCTGTTATTATTATACATCTTTCTTTGTTTTTGTTTTGTATTAACGATAGAGCTTTTAGAATTTCTAATAATTCAGCCGAAAAGATGGTTGGAATTTGGCGACAATTTGAAACTAACTGAGGAGTCTTCCGAATAAATTGCTGCTCCAACTCTGTCTTCATTTTTTGACGCATCGGTGTATACGTTGTAGGTATTGCCATATGTGTTTAATAGTGTATGAATCTTTTGTTTAATGAAGGTTGATGATATCTCTGATTTTCTTAGGTTTGTTAGACTGATGTCGATAGCAGGAATAGATATTGTCCACGCCCATCGTGGTCCAATAGATAAATTTGAATACATTCTATAAACGAAGTTGCAAAGCAATATCGTTTATTATTAATAAATGAGTACGACCTCTTGAAATTTTACCAAATCTGTCATAGGCATTGTTTTATTTCAGAAAGCATTATGTTAACTTTTGAGTAAAATTTGTTGGTTGTAACTTCCAATGAGGCTGTAGAAAACTACTTTTTTAGATTAATGATTAAAGTTGAATTAAACGTCCATTCAATAACCAATAAATATATATAGGTCATAGGAAAAATACTATAATATAAGATATTTTTAAAACTGATCTGAAGATTATCAAATTAATATGAATAAAAGTACATTCAGTACAGTCATTTATCTTTTATTATAACTATTGTGTGATTGCATTATTTTTTTCTTGCATTTTAAGATTGTTGACCTCATTATGACTTACACAACTTCTTCGGAATATTTTTAACGTTTAATTGAGAATACATTACAAAACAAAAAGCGTTCTTTCAGTGAAAGATATTCCCTAACAACGCAGAAATACTACAAATAGTATGATAAGGAACCTAATCAATGAGTCAATGCTTTTATGAATGAACTCTTCCATACAAACGATCGATTTATTCATATAAAAATAACACGGTCGTATTTTATCGAAATTTGTCTTATCGGTTTTATAAAGATTTTAAATTATTCAATTTATTTCTGGTATACAATATCATTATTTAGCAATAACAATTAATACAAGCTCTGCCCATAAATTAGTGAATATCTTAGAGTTTTTAAAAAATTACGAAAACGCGGCAATATTACAGATTATAGGAGTGTACAAACATTTGAGAAACAAAATCTACGATAGGCAACGTTATTTTAAAACTACAACTAGCATTAGTTTGTTGAGATGCCCCAATAAATACTCATAAATACTCAATAGGATTCATGTCAGGACCATTAGGTGGCAAAATTACATTAAGAACAAACAAAATTTTGTTTCAAAAAAGACTTTTTCGCTAAAGATAAAAATAAAAGCAACAAAATAAAAAAAAATAAGGGCAGAGGAGCGAGCTCCTATTACGCCCAAAACACAAAGAAAAGAAAAAAAAGAACAACATTTGTGCGTCTTAGAGATTTTATCAACTTGGTAAATGTTTGGACATTGTGAACTACATTGTGTGCTTTCCATACATTAAGTAAACACACTCAGGCGATTGCTATTTCGAAATCAATAGACCGTAGATAAAACTATTTCCTGTTTTATCTATAAGTACGTATTAAAACATCCGTAACCTTTAACCTCTGAGGCCAAATAAAAATATTATCAAGTTCTGAGTAAGGAATATACTTTGTATATGTGTAATGTAATGTTAAACAGATAAAAAATATATTGAAATATGTGTGACTGCATATTTATAATATTTTCTTGTACTATTAAAAGTAATCTCACTATTGCAAACACGTGAGGTGATCTTATTTGCTTGAAGAACAAATTCGTAACTGAAACCTTAAACTAATCATGCCATTTGATAACGAATTGACTTCCTCTGATAACGTGTGTAGTGTGTACTTTGAGATTTAATAAGATGATTTTATGAACCAGATCAGGTTTTTGAGAAACATTTTAAAATAATCTGTCAAGGATTTGCATAGCAAGTTTTATTTAGCAGCTGACAAGGCACGAGACCTAGCACATGAGATACTAATCTTAAAAAGCCCAAAGATAATAATATTAGTTTATCATTTTTTTAAACAGTAAACAAAAGTTACTAAAATCATAATTACCACTATTATCATTCTAACCCTAGAACCACACGGTGATGATTGGGACATATCAAGTATCCTGACGTCGGATACAACATCATTCTAATTTTACCGCTATTTTATATCGAAAACTTACTTTAATGTACAAAACAGACAATTGTAAACTAAATAACCAACCTCATAATAGATTTTAGTGAAAAATACGTTTAGTTGATATATAACAAATTTTTAAAATACATTAGAAGTACATAAACGATTAAACAAAACTAATACCAGCTTGAGAACATATTGAGTTGGTAACAGCAGATCACTTTGTGGTCTGTTCTCTTTGCCAACGTAAGGAATTCCTCCATAGAAATAGAATGTTCTTGCATCACAACGGAAATAATTTTGAGTCCATACTTATCTGGTTTACTTGGTATATACATTTTAAACGGGCATCTTCCCCTAAAGCTTAACAAAGTCTCATACACGGTTATATACTCCGATGGAGTGTAATTTTTTTCTGCAATTACTCTCGAATAAACTGTAGAATTCTCTGAATGGAGCCAATTTATCTATTCTCCTTTGTTCCCTGATGCCTCGAGACGATGCCTCCAAGCATCGCTTTCCTTGGCTACTCTCCTCCAGCTATCCACCCTCATTATCTCATTAGCATCGGTTCTTACTTCGTATATACACCGCTTCCTTGGTTTTTCTACTGGAAGACATCCCACCATAGTTCCACATTCTTATAAGGTGGCCTGCCCAGTACAATCAATATATTTTTACATCATTTGTTATAGAGGATTCTTTTGTAATGTTGATATGACTCGTGGTTGAACCTTATTCTTCACATACCATTGTTGTGGATGGGCCCTCCAATATTCTTCTCAATAACTTTCTTTCAAAAGTGTTAATATGGTTTATTATTTTTTTGTGTCATGATCCATGTTTCTGCGCCATATTGGTCGTATGTTGGTATTATATATTTTGAACTTTACTTCCCTAAGGATGTCTTTGGCATTTTTTTAAGTTCCAATTTTTTAAGAGACCATTTTTCCCTTGCTCGTTGGCACTGACTCTACCTGACACTTACCTATCTCCAGTAAGGTTGCTCAGGTTTGTGGGTGAACCCCGGTAAGCCCGTATATTGTATAGTCTGGGCATTATTGTTGACAATATTGACAGCTACTGTATTGCGATCACATATTGCAGTAAAAATAAGGTTCGTTGAGAGGTAAATGTAGAAAATGAGACGTAAATGTAGAAATGAGAGGTAAATGTAGATATACAGATATTAATAGATAGAAAGTATATGAAAAGTATATGAAGTTAATTAACGATTTTTTTTGTTACAGATGATCCTATCAGTATTAGTCATCGCTGTCACTTTCAGCCAGTTAGAATGTAGGAGAATAATGGACGATCTCAGTAACGAAGTGAGCATTAACCCAGAAGAAAATTTTGGCTATTCGTCACGCGAATGGGTAAAGATCAGTAAACCTCCAGTGGCAGTAATGAGCAAAAAAGTCGGCCAACACATGGAATTGCATTGCGAAGCGATGGGTTCCCCGCCTCCGACTATAGAATGGTACAAAGCGAATAGGAAGATAACAGAAAATGGGGCTTTCGAGACTAATGTCTTAACGAGGAGTCCAGCTCTAGCTGAGGTAAGAGATCAGAACTTAATATTTTGGCGTAAGGTAACAATAAATATTCAGTAAGATTTTCGCGATTAGTACAATTAAACCTAGAGCTAAGATTAATACTACTACAAGAATTAATATTAAACTCAACAGTATTTCGGGTCCTCGAAAGACTTTCGACATCCTCTTTGATGTCTTCTTCAGGGCTTCCGAGGTCTCAGTCTTCAGAGCCACAGACACTACCAAACTGATCACTAACCAACGCAGTAATGCATTGGTATATAGCATTTCCTCTTTTCTTTTCTCTTACTTATACTTCCAGAATCCACCAGACCTGGTGGATATGTACTAAATGTAAATCTGGCAACGGGCCTTGTATTTGCCATCGAGTTAGTATCTCGATGGTATTTGCCTACTTCGTTACTGTCACCTGTTACTGCCAACGTGTCAGCAGTGCCAAAATTTTCGTTTTCAGAATTAGAATGTTATTATACTCTATTTTTAGTTTTATTAGATTTTAAATGAATATATTTATTTTTTTCTTAAAGAAACGAATTTCTTTTTTTACCGATTTTATTTTTTCCTAACTACAGCCAAGGCTATTGGCTTCTCCACCTCTACGGATGAGTATGCATGATATGTCTGGGTTAGATCGGCACACGTTAAAAAAGTGGACGTGGTCCTAAACGAAGCATTCTGAATAGCAATAGGGTGCCTAAAAGCAACGACGAAAATATGTAGAAACGCATGAAACATAAGGCTTGCAGATTAATAAATAATATTTTCAATCATCATGGAATAATTAATCTCTTTGTCAACCATTTTCCATCCACTCCTGAATGTAGGTCTCTCCCGATTGCTTCCATCTTTCTCTATCTTGCGCCAATCTAATTTCCTGTTTGCCTCCCACTGCTCTTATGTCATCTACCCATCTTTTTGAGGTTTTCCCATGCTTCTTGTTGTCGTCCTTGGTCTCCATTCTCCATCTCCTAGAATTCTCCGTGTCCACCTGTCCCGATTTCATGACCCATTTCATTTTTGTAATTTCTTCCACAATATCCCTAATTTTCGTTCTACGTCTTTATCTCAGTGTGAGATTCTGAGTGTATAACTCTACTCACCTGGGGTAATTTCGTATTGATACTCGACATCTTCCACTTGGGAGGTTTTAGCATTTTTAAAATGCTAAAACGCTTGCCGAACGGTTTGGCGAGTGATTCTATACAATCCCTAAAATCAGGGATTGTCACTTTCGTCATCCACGCCGTACCGAAGGTATTCTTCTCCGCCGTGTCTGCCGTTGGGACTTCATCCGTGACTCTGGATAAGGGACCCTGGATAAGCAGATACTAGTTTCCCGGGTTAGGAAACCCCTGAAATCTGCGGAGGGCAGGGTCTGATTTATTTTCCACGATAGGATTGTCCAGAGGAGTTACTACCCGCTACCCGCGAATAATTAATAATAGATCAAAATATTTATTGTAGCATAGAAATATGTTACAAAATAATTTCTGTATGGTGGAGCATTATCAATGACAATGAAATCGTACGATATTACTGCTGTTATCGCCTTCTTTGTTTGTAAAACTTGATGTTTCTAACTTACAGCACATATTGCATTCATAGTGATTATTTATATTTATTTTTAAAGTAAAAAAGCTTCTTTTAATTAATTAATGTGTCAGACACTTTCTGCTTTGTTTATTTTTCTGATAACCCTTGTACGTGCGGTGGCGATATATATTTTTTAAGTTCAATATGAGGACGATAATTATTATCTATAGATTGCATAAAACGATTTTTTATAATAATTATAGAATAAAACGTAGATTCATCTCATTTTCTGGGATTTCTTTTATCATGGCTATGTAACAGAAAACAAAAGCGATATATCATGCTGTAACTATATAATATAATAGATGTAATAAAATGTCATCTTTATTTTTCAGGTCTCTTCTAGATTAGTTGTAAACTATTTACTTCCCAGGCATCAAGATGTATATAGATGTGTGGCTGAATCTGGTACCAAAGTGGACACCGCTCCAACCAAGTTATTAGTTACCGACGGTAGAGAAATGAATTTCACGCAGTTACTTAGCGCAAAGATTCTTGGAGCACACCATCTTCCCAGAGTTACTTTCTGGGCCAGTACTTACATGGAAGTAATCGGTGAGTCAATTTGGAATGCTAAACCATTAATTTGTGATATATTCTAATAGAATAAATACACTTTATTCTAATGTAAATACCAGGCATGGTATCTATCACATTCGTTTTATTACAATTTAGTTATAGTTCTATGTTTGCGCTTTTAGAATTTCACTAGTCAGGTTCTTACTGATTTTAGAACCTTTCTCAGTACCAAAGTATTTTACAGCTCTTATGGGACGTTCATCAGTTTTTTGATTGCTGTATATTTCCCGCTGATCTAGAAGTCATAGCAGTTTATACTGCTTTACCATTTTTGCTGTTTTTTAATGCCATTTTAATTTCCTCTTTTAATATATTTAAAACCATATCCTCTTCTACTTTTATCTCCATCTGCTCTGTTCTATTGTCTTTGAACAGTTCATTGATGTATCTGTCCATCTCTTTAATTGGTCGTTAGTATTCAACACAAGTTTCCCATTTGCATCTTTCAGTATTCCCGGTTTTCTTGTTCTATTGTTTTGAGTTAATACTTTAATTTTTTTATGTGTGTTTTAACGTTTATGATTTCTAATATTCTTCTATTTCTGCGCATTGTTCTTTTAACCATTATTCTTTCGCTTTCTTAATTCTGTATTTTATTTGTTTATCCACTTTTTTGTATATCTCATTATATTTTTTTCTAATAGAGTTTTTAGTGCATTATAAATATATGCCTAATGATAACATTTCATCTCCATCGATGACCTCAGTTATACCGACGCTATTTTTAATAACTGTCCATAGAACAATTTCTCCATGCTAGTTTTTATTCGACATTTAATTTTTTTATTTTCCTAGTTGTGAGGATGGAATTGTATTAAAATAAGAATACTACTTCCATTCTCCTCCTTTACATAGTCCTAATTTTCACTAAAATTACACATCACATTTACACACACTAAAATATTTTGTTTTTTTATAGGAAACGATCTTGTTCTTCCTTGTAAGTATGTGGGTAACCCAAAACCGAGGGTAATCTGGATGGACCCTTACAGCAAAGTTATTGAAAATAACGAAAAATATTCAGTATCTCAAGACGGCGAACTTAGAATAAGATCTATAGAATGGTCGGATATGGGTCAATACGTATGTGCATTGGAAAATTCTGTAGGAGAAGATTCTATAGAGACTTTTTTATACCCAATGCAGGTAAGTTAATTAAATATAAATATAACACATTTAAAGAATATTCCTCCCATTCGTGAATATATGCCTCCTCAAACTCGTTCCTATTATTTTTGTTCTGCTTCTCTGCTACCCTTTTTTTCAGCTACTGTTGCCCATATTCTTAGCCTTTTTGGTGCTAAGACTTTCGTGGTTACCTCACGACTTTTTACCTGTCCCATTGCTGCCTTGGTTGGAAATTTCCAATCTGCTTAAGACCAGAATCCGTTGTTGTAATGAAGGATTCATTTGCGTGTAATTTGGTTATAGCTCATTAGGTTTGCCAAAATTCGTTTAGATGTAGAATTACAATTCCTTTAGTTCTTCCTGTAACTCAGTTATGAGAACATGGAGCACAACGTGGGGCTTGGGATTTGAAAAGCTTTATTTAATCGTAACCACATATTCCTACGAATCATAGATCCAATAAAATACTTGAATCGAGCTTTGTCTGAAAAAGGTTGGTTTAACGTAAGTATTCATTGAACCACATGATGGGTAAATAACAGCTACTCTCAGTAGAAGAAAATGTCAATGATGGTGACACCCTTATTGTAAAAGGATTATGTTAGTGGAATTTTAAGTCAATGGTGGAAATGAAACAGCAGCAAAACTTTTGAATACCAAATTGTGCTAACAACTAATAGATACGTCACTGATGTCCAGCATCTAATCGTTTCACCGGACAGTATGATTCTGCCATTTCTCGAGTAAGTCGAGGAGATAATACACCATTTTGCGTACCTCACGTTTAACGTCTGACATGATTTAGATTCATTCATATAGTATATGTCTATATTAAATATCTCTTTAAATATCTAGTTGGAGAAGCTGAAGGTAACTGATAAGTAGCAAACAGCATTACAATTACCAGTTTGGCTGATTATAACTGGACATAAAAGATACTATGTGATGTTCTGACTGGCATTATGAAAATGAGCTTGATCTATCGAGCCTGATGCTATTGATCTATAGATTATTTCAATACTTAACCGTCCTTAAATGCAATAGTGTGTATTTGTAACATGATTATTAAAAATGTTTTTCTTTGTTCCAGGGTTCGAAGTAGCCAAACGTACAAAGGGGTTCCACGATTCTGATTCTAGTCAAAAGTCACAACATCTTGCGCCCTTTATGAATGCGCCGATCTGAATATTTTTTTAAATTAATTTATTAATGTAGTATTTATAAAGTAGGTATTAGTAGTTTAATAAATTATGTACTTATTTATATTGATATATAAAACTGAAAATTTGAAAAAATTAATAAATGTATTATGAAAATTACTTGAGAATTATTTACATAAATACACCTAAAAGTAGATTACAGTCACACTTATCATATACAAAAGTGGAGATAATCACACCCAAAAATAGATTATATTATGACAAGAAAAGAATATATACTTGAATGTTAGGACAACAAGGTGATAGTTAATGAAACTGTGAGCCAACAACATGACTGATAAAAACTTGTAATAGACATCGAATTAAAAAAGCGAAACCAAAATATCGGAGAGGATCACAAAAAATCAAATAATAAAAAATGAATTCAAAGATGAGAAAAAAGTTATATTGAGAGCAAAAATAGTAGAAAAAATGTAATGGAACATATAAGGAAGAAAAATCTCAAAATATGTTTGAGAATAAAGATGTTCAAATGAAGCTCAAGAAAAAATGAAGAAAAACTTTGGAATGAACTATAAAAGTGGCCAGAAAATAGGTCAGACAGAAACCTTCAACATTAGGTATATAGTCACCAAAAAAGAAGAGAAAGTAGCAAGCGCTAAGGCCGAGTCGAATACAAATCTATACGATCAACTTGATACCAGTAGGGATGGTCAAATAACGATATATAAAATAAGCAAACACAGACCAAAAAAACAACAGATTTTAATCAGATTAAATATATCCGAAATGAAAGTTATAAAATACTAACTACTTCGTGAAAGGGATGTCAAAAGAGATTGAAAAACTACTTTGTCAATCGGATTCTAAAACCCAAGGCAGTTATCGATTACAATCGTGGGATGGGCGGAGTCGACAGAAATGATTATCTTCCTTTCCACTAATGCGAAGGTACTCTGATATGGACAACATGATTATGAGTATTATGAGAAATATTCTTGATTACACTTTAAGATAATATGTTTTCATTTTCTCATTAGGGTTCGTGAAAAAATTTTATTCAATATGGAATGGAACAATTTGGACTAATTGTTAACACGTTAACTGCCGGTCCATTCTGGGTAGGCTTTCACCAGGAGCCGCTTACTGTTTTTGATACAAAGACGTTTATTTATTAGTTTCTGGAAAAGTCCGAATAAAGTAAGTATTTTTAAACTAAATGCACATATATACAAGAGGGGTTGGTGGTGAACGCGCCAGAGCGTCAGTGGCGCTCGACTCTAGTATTTGTATACATACGCCGTTCGACGCGATGGTGCGTTTTGTAAATAATATTGATAAAAATCAGTTTAAACAGGAACATTTATTTACTAATACAAAACAAAACAAGAAATACAAAATAACATAAATTATAAGTAAATAAAACAACATTAAACTTTGTGGGATATTTGACAGCAATCCAGACAAAATCCAGGGGTATCGGGACAGGCTTTGCATTCGTAAATTGTATCTTTACGAATATTTTGTTGACTGCAAGTTTTACAGCGTTTTCTCATAACTTTTCCCTTTACATCCTTTACCTCTCGTTTTGTTACTGAATGATCTTTTGGAACAAGTTTGGCTTCAGAATTAATAACTTTTAAAAGGGATCTAACGAGTTGTAAACGAAATTCGTAAAGACCAATCTTTTTTCCAGAGTACTTGTTGTATAGTATGTGGGCATTTATAGCCATCATCTGTATAACATGTATAAATATTTTTGTTGGCCATCGTACAGTTTTTCGTTGACTCGGATAATAGGCAAGCATCTGGTCTTGCCGGTCAATACCAGACATATTTTTATTATATCTGATAATAGGCTCTGGTTTTATTACATGTTGACCTCTTCTTGTTGTAACTTCTTGTAAAGTGTTTTGACATTCTGTTGTTATATAGTAAACGTCTCTTTTATCCTTCCATTTGCCAACTAATACCCCTTTTCGGCAACGGGCAATTGTTGCACCTTTAGCAAGTTTTTCTTGCCTTACTTCTGCCGGATTATTTTTACGGTCAATTCTAAGAGTTCCTGTGCAGTAAGTGGAAAATTCAAGTAAATTTTTAGCTAAATCAAAGCTGTTATAAAAATTGTCCATGTAAACGCAATGGCCTACATTTAGTTTCCCTTCTAAAAGGTGCAAAACCACTTTATTAACATGTCCTTTTCCACCTGAATCGTCAAACGTTCCAGAATAAACTAAAAATTTTAAAATTAGACCATTTGGTTCGGTCAACATATACAACTTAATCCCATACTTATGTTTTTTGTTTTTTAAGTATTGTCTAAAATTAAGTCGTCCTCTGTGTAATACCATTGACTCATCTAAGCTCAAATTACGATCAGGATAATAAACTTCTTCCATTCTCTTATTGAAAAAGTTTATCATCGGTCTAATTTTATAAATTCTGTCTTCAGGTACTTGTTCTCCCTCTTCTGGATTATTACTAAAATGCAAACATCGCATTATGACCATAAATCTGTTCCGGCCCATAAAAGTGGAAAAAATTGCATTAGCAAAAAGAGGATCTTTCTTTTTCCAATAATCCTCAATCCTAGGCAACGAAATATGACCCATGTGTAGAACTAATCCTAAAAAGACTAGCAGTTCTTCGGAAGTCAAAATTTTCCAATCGAAAATCCTAGAATGTGTCGCCCCTGTATTAGATAAGAAAATGTGCTCGGCATACCTGTTTGTCTCATCACACACTTGCTGCAAACATTCATCTGTAAGTAGCATCCGAAAAAAGTCAACTGGATTATTATCGGAAACTTCTACTAGTAACTCCTGGTGTTTTAAAAAAGGAAAATTTTTCATACCATCAAAATTTTCTTTCCATTTATCGCTTTCATCAACATCAACGAGTAGATTAGGCTACAATTAAATAATTTGTTTTAGTAAAAAGTTAATATTTGCATTTAATTTTGTAACATACCGTATCTTCCGTATCCTCAATAAGTGCTGTAGGTAAAGTATTTTCAATTTCATCCTCAGATTCTGGTAAATATTCACTGTCTGAATCAAGAAAGTCACTAAATTCTTCATCGCTTGTTTCTAATAATCTCAAAAGTTCTTCCTCTGTTAATTTTTTTTTCATATCTAATTTTATTTTTTTATTTGAATTTGCGCCACTTTGTAAAATATCGTCAGTGTTATTCATTTTTGCACTTCAGTATGCTTACCCTATGCCATTCAAATATAAAATAACCAAAGGAGATGCAAAAGAACTCAAATAACATTTAGGGGAAACACCGAAATTATCCGGGTATTACCAAGCTTTACGATTAGCGACTCTAGAAAATAGGGGAAATACCGAAATCTGGGAATGTTTAATTTTTACACGGTTAGTAATCCGATAAATTAATAAGCATTTGCAGAATTATATGTGCTATTACTGATATTTACACTTAATACAAAGCCAACAGATATACTCATCCTATCGGGACAAAAAGTCGTAAATCGAAAAACCAAGAACAAAATTAGAGAATTGATACCTCTAGTTACCTGCCTTTAAAATATAAAAAGCCCTGTTGTAGCGCCAGTGAAATAATCCAAGATAATAATCGATGAAAGTCTGAACGCGCGAGAGCGTCGTCGGCGTCTAGCTAAAGTCATGTATCGACGCGCCAGCGCGTTATTGGCATTGAACGTGTTAATAAGAGATATGGTGGTTCTTATTTGTTATGTATGATAAGAGAATGATATATCTGGCTCAAGTTATCGATGTCAGTTCTTTTCGGATCCAAAATCCCTAAATAAAAGAACACATATAACAAAATCCCTAATATAATGGGACAAATTAAAATATATAACAAATTCAGACGTTTGTTAATTTATTATTTTTTAATAGATATGACAATAATGCTGAATTAACCTTTAAGTAGGTACTAAGAGCTTCAATCAATGGCGTAAACACTAACTAACCGCCTGACAGACGGGTTTAACATTTTAGTGGATATTTTGTTTTGTTAAATATTTTAATGCAAAAAAATATTGCGATGACTTACTGAAAGTGTTAGTTATCTAAAAAACACAGTAATTAATATAGTTTATCTGTATTTATTAAAATAAAAAACATAACAAGAATGGATCGATATTTTGTGTACATTTTTACGCCTGAAAAAAAGTGTGGTAAAAATTAAACAAATTAAAGAATCTTGATAAAAATTTATAAACGGGTTAACAAAAGAATAAGAAACATTAAAATAATAAGATTCTTAAAAAATGTTAACACAAAAAAACTGATAGTCACTAAAGTTGGTAGAGTGTAGCGCAATCCAAACAAACTTTTTCGCACATTCCAGGTTTTTGACAATGAAAGCATACATAAGCTGTTCTTCATTTCTTTTTATAGTGACAGTAAGAACAGTCCTTTCTTCATTCTAACTTTTCCACTCTTACTTCTGGAGGCCGTTGAGGTTCATATAGACCCAGTATCTCGCATATGCTCAACTTTAGTTTTCTAGGTAAAAAGGAACTTTATAGTCTTCTGGTCAGCTGAGGTTGGATAAGTTGAAATGCCAGTTTTTCAATAAAATTTGGCCTTTCTAAATGAGTGATATTTTTAAGACTCATAAAGAATATAAGCATTTACTATACTTATATCAAACATTCTGAAATTGGCGGAAATGCTTGTAAATTTTGCACATTTTTCGTCCATTGAATCGACACCACCCTTTATTGAATTATAATCTACTATTATGTGTCGTTTTTTAGTGTCTGTGTCCTCAGTGGCTGCGTGATGAGATGATGATACCAAAATTACGGCTTTATTTTTATGTGTTGTATGTGAAAGTAATGTGTTTTGTAAAACCGTAAATTGCCGTTCACACTTCTCGTCGTCTGGTGGGTAAGAAGATAGAAGGAATTTCTTTACGATTCTTGCGGAGAGTTCGAATTCAAGTTAGACCTTTACTTTGCAATACCTCTACCAGCTCTATAGATGTAAACCAGTTGTCAAAGGTTATAAATCTGCTGGTCCCATAGAGACGAGTAATTAAGCGCATAACAGCACGTGTCGGCTTACTGTATCTTTCCTGTTCCTTCTTAAGTCCAGTACCGTCAGAATTTTTTCCCGTTATATATATATATATAATATATA